TTCCTAAAATATTGTTGGCAACAAATTTGTATCAGTGGAATAAGATTATGACTTTTCTTGTTGCCATGGTAACGGGTTTCTGACAGGCATTTTTTGCCAAATTTAATAATTTCCATTTAAACAACAGAATTTTATGGGTTTTATGTCAAGTTGCACATTGTTTCTAATATTAATAACATCACATATAATTATATGTAAATTTTATTATTAAAAATGCATAATTTATGCTAATTTGATGACGTCATTGGCCAAATCCAAGATGGCGGACCATATCATTAGATCAGGTAAATACAGCTTATTTTTCTTAAAATTTCATCAATACCCACATTTCTTTTTACAAAAAAGGTTCATATGAACGTCTTTTGTCTGTTTACAATGTATTTTAGGCTTTATCCTGAAAAAAAACTATTTTTTGAATTCAAGATATATAATTTACGTTATACTTCTGTCAACCAAAATACAGTCTTATATTAAGAAACAATGCCATTCTAGCATTTCCTCATAAATTATGCAAATAGGGTCCTGATTTGGAAACATTATGTTTAATGATGTTCACCTTCATTGGACTTTGAAATACGAATAAGTATGAAATTCCAGGCAGTTAACATTACATATTTAAAAAAAATTCTCATTAATTATGCAAATTAAGTCTTCATTTACATAATCAATATCTGCCTGTGTTTCTCTCGTTCTTAATTACAAATGTCACAAACTTCAATAGTCCTATCATGGAATGCAGCTGATTTATAGAATTCCCCCATAAATTATGCAAATTACATCCATATTTGCAAAATAATCAAATAATTATATCAAGCATTACGTAAGCTACCTACATACCAAAAGTCACAATGATCTGTCAACCGGTTCTTGAGTTATTCTCTTTTGAATATTTTCAAACATATAGCCCTGCAGTTCAAGACCAAGCCGCTAAGGGGCCCCAAACTCACATCACTTTTTCCCCAGCACAAGAGCTACCTACCATCCAAATTTCGTCACCCTAGCATGTCTAGATCATGAGATAACAAAACCGAGCCAAATTCTAAGGTTAATACGACATAAATCCCAGATATAAAATGATTTAGGACCTCAGGATACTGTTATGATGTCGCATAAATGTGTTATGTTACTTAACATACGAAACTTGCTCCAAATGCGGTGGGTGCAATACGTAAGTCTAGCGAGATCAACCCAACGCAAGTTTATAGCGAGATCAGGTAGCAAGAACGCCGTGGCGGGTGGGTCTTGCCCGGCGGGATCGGAGAAGAGATGCCAGCAGCCGCAGACCGCCGGGCCCCGGGCCACCTACGTCCCCCACCTGTGCCGCCTGAGCAGCACGACAAAGGACCGAGGCACCGGCGGCGGCGGGGGGAGGGGAGGGGGCCAGCGGTCTAGCTAGTCTTCTTGACCCGCGGTGCCGCGCTGCCAAGTCTATCACTTCCGTATACACCAACAGTCAAGTTTTCAACCATCACCTGTTAGGGTTTAACATTACCTATTATTGACAAATACTCCGACTTCGCAGGTAGATTAGTCTATGTTGGCAGATGTTGGCTTCTAATTAATTTATTGCTAACAATGCATTGAAAGAATCCTGTCAATAGTGAACCATCCTGTCAATAGTGGGAAAATTGTTCTATTGACAGGATGGTTCTGTTCATAGAGTGTTTTTTCTCTTTTAATTGACAGGATGGTCCTGTCAATAGTGCAGGTTTTCTCCCTATTGTGCAACTGTTTGAAATGTTGTGCAATGGACACTTTTGTAAAAGATTACTTTGTACTAGGATAATCACAATGTAGTAATAATAATACAAACTTTGTATAGCAACATTGCAAATGAAATGATTCTGTCATTCTGTCACATGGCCGTGTTCATGTGAAGTCAGTGAAGGCGCTTTATTTGTGGTTTACCCCGAAGCCGGTTTCAAGTGGCTCCATCTGAACGCTCCAAATCACATTGAAAGCGCCTCGATCCTAAACCACTTCTAGAGGTGGTTTCGAACAGTTTTTCCCGCATCGCGATTTGTGTCTGAACGCAATGTGATTTCAATGTGACTTCACCTGGTCATGGATTACGGGGTGATATTTCTTTATTTATATGCAATACCAACTTTTACGTGGCAGCAACTTAAAGAGCAGTAATGGTCAAGTAATGGTCAAATAATTTGTAGGGCGAGCTTCACCGCCTCTAGCTGGTGGGACCACGTCGGCATTCGGCTGAGATACGCTGGGAGGGGGGCATCAGCAAGGAGGTCGTTGACCTCTGACATTAATAACACGCCACCCTGCGTGTTATCATCAAACAGCAATAAATGTAGCTCAAGCGAATTGTGATCGGACATGGTTTCAAAGGAATGCGTGGTACGTGGACCAGATGTGCGGAATGCGAGTTACCCGAATCGAGTTTGGGTGACTTCACATAAACACGGCCTTTGTGTTACGTAGATAAATGATATATAAAGAACACATGAATACATGATTTCGTCAGGTGTAGACATTTTGTCTCAATTTGATAAATGTGATGATTTTTGTTGGATGGATGGACGAAATATATTGTTAAAACTCATGTTTGTCCCTGCGCATTTCTCATTTCGTTAAATTGATTGTATTTGGGGCTGAATGTTATTAAATGTGCAATGTACAATTAGATGCAGGGTGACGTTGGTTGGCAATCTTCAACCAAATGCAGGTTGGCGTGGATAGTGATAAAAGTACGACAATTAGTGAGAGTACCAGTACTAATTGTCAGTACATTAATACTGAATAGTATTATATTGTACTTTGTTCACTTTGTTGGGGTTTGGATAACAGAAAGTTTATTGCAAATTCATGCCCGAGGGCTAATTACAAGAACATGATAACAACAGTAAACAGTAGAATGATAATAAGTGATGCTAATGCTACTTTATATATACATTTGTAGTTATTGTTGGGTTTGATTTCTTTTCCATGTGCAGTGGAGTATGAAATGACCAACATTTTGCGAGATATATGAGTTGGGAGGTGTTAATAGAAATGCAGGTTTTTGTAGGCTGGGAAGGTGAATAAAGCTGGGGAACATTTTGGTGACCATTTCAAATAACTGATCTCTTTCGGTGCTATAATGAGGGCAGTGACAAATAAAGTGCATTTCATCCTCCACTGCGTTTCCTATACAATATTTACATATTCTGTCGTTAACAGGCAATTGTTTGTATCTACCCTTTTCTATTTCTAATGTATGAGCGCTAACTCTAAGCTTACATATGGCAGATCTAACATCGAAGTCTTTGACAATTTTTTTCACAATTTTTTTCACTTATACCGATATTTGGCCGTAATAACATTCTTTGTAACATTTTAGACTAGTTAAACAACAGCATAGACAGACAGCATATAATGAACAGAATGACCAACAAGACAAGGGTTGTAACAATGTACCTTACGACAATCTTCTCTTGCCTTTAGTAATTACAATTCATTTGTCGTAGCTTTATGCCTTGGGTACAGTTGGTAAGATCAGACTGCATGAACGGCTAATGAGCAACCAAAAACTCGTCATTAAGACTTGACAAAAAATCTTGATTAAGTTAGTTCTGTGAAGGTGATGCCCTGATCTCCTACCGACGTTCTATGTGGTCTCACACCGGAGTGACTGGTGCCCACGCCTCTATCGCTGCCGTTGGCACATTGATGTAGAAGAAGCCCTAACAAGTAACATAAACACAAAATTGTAAATGCGACGTTTTTGTGGTTTGAACAGATTTTGAGTGTATTTGAACAACAATTTGCTACTGTAATAATTTATCTTGAAGTTCAAAGGGTGAACATGGGCAGTAAATCAAGCAGAATGATTGGTATATGTAAATTAGTATCACGGCTGTAAGCTTATAACCAGTATAAAGAAAATCTACCAGAAGCAAAGAAAGTCTCAGTTTGACATCTTGAAAAGCCGATGTGTCAATCCTTCCACAGATGTGGTAAATCTTCATACATGTAGATAAATCATTTCTAAAAACTTACATTAGGATCTGCCTCCAGTTGTTTTCTAACTGTTGTGGCGTCCGGCCTTCTCTTCTCGTTAAACTTCCAACATTTCAGCATGAGCTGGTACCTGTGTGAACAGTGCAAAGTAAGAATGTCTTCTAGCCAATGACCGGTATTTAGGATCCCTCGCAGATATAATGTGCATCATGGGGAATTGTAGAGCTTGTCTAAGTTTGTCACTAGTTTGTGGTAAAACGTTGTTATTTCCCCTTCAATGTGGCATGTCTGTCTTATACAAATCTACGATCTGTAGTGCCACTTCTCTCAGAAAGAACAAACAAGCTAGACTAAGTTTATAGCCATTATGATATACAGGCGACAGCCTACATAAACCAGTCCAGGGGTGCATCCAAGGCATGTGCAGCCGCCAATTCCAAACTCTAAATGTTAGAGCAGATACGTACATGTACAAAAGGCATCTACCCTTGTACCCTTCCGATTGTACGAAGCCTTAGGGCAAATGCCCTGCCTGGCACGGTTGCGACGGCTCCACCGTAAAGTCGTCTAATGCCAAGCTGGAGGTCTGTGCGCCTTAGCCCGGGTAATAAACCCATCGATCCCCCCTCCCCGTACTTCCACCCTCTGTGATGATGCTCCAAAGCCACCAGACTACCGTGTACATGAATTGAAACATTTACCTTCACCAAGTCTTCAGGTACGCAGCACAAATGTACAGATCTCAGACGTACCTTTCCTCCGTACAGAGCTGTGGCATCGGGAGTCTGAAGTGGTTACGCAGAGCATCGTATATTCTGTCTGCGCCGTCCATCCCAGGAAACGGCGTGCGACCCAGCTGCGCCACTTCCCACAACAGAACCCCAAGAGACCACCTGGTAAGCAAACAGGTCAGTCAGTATATGCCTCTGAACGATGAAGACTTACTTATCGCTATAATATAGCAACCAACAGTTTTCACCTGACCGTATACTGAGGTTTTCTTATCGGTTTGTCCATGTGATTTGTACATGTAATGACCATATAAAAATATGTCAACATAACAATCTGTCTACCACACGACTTTCTTCTCAGTTCAGCATCATGGCTTGCGATTCCAACATATATCAAAGCTACACAACTAATGACGTCCCTGCCCCCTATAGCGTAACCCGACAACTGTTTGAAGTACAAGAATGGTTGATCGTTTCGCAACTTCTCCTCTGTACAAAAGTGCATCTTCCCAGCTGCAATACACAGAACTGTAACGTCACATGCCCCCTTCCCCTTTGGCGACAATCAACAAATGAATACTCACACGTCACTCTTGTGGGTAAACATAGCCTCGTTCTTCAGACCCTCCGGCGCCATCCACTTTAGAGGCAGAAGTTCGTTACCCTGGATCAAAGGCAGAGGCTCTTAGTAAAAGAAATTCCTGAAAAAAGAACACTTTCAAGTTTTATCCGCTGTCATAAGAATGTTGATTAGTCGTGGACAATTGGACGAGAATGTAAGCGTCCGTAGCAATGATTGACTTGAATCACACAAAATAGCCTCCAGTATAATTCCGGACTGATTCCCATATCTCAGACATCCTACATCTAGATGCATATGGGCTAATATCGTAATATCGTAAACTATGGGTAAAAATTATGTAGGAAATACGTGGCACCCATCAATGACCCATTGGGCATTAGCCCAGTTCTGCAGATCCGGAACGGGAAGAATTCTGCAGAATTGGATTAATCCCAAAGGGGTCCTCGATGGCCGATACATATGCATATTTCTTACATCATCTTAATTTACCTATATTGTTCGATATTAGCCCATTGAGATTTAAACTGGAGGCTGTTACATACGGCCAAAACCCCGATGTACTATAACTGAGTTTCTCGAATCTTCCCTGTGTGCGAATCGGCCTACTTTGACGGGCGTCAAGATCGTATTTTTAGATTGCATGTTACCTTGAGGGCTGGCGCACAATCTGAATATAGGCCTAAAAGGCTATACTATGTCAAATTTTCTGTGTAAATATTCGTATTTTTCAAAAGTAGTATTTCTACAAATGGATCAGACAGGCTTCAGTTATATTTTATTAGAGCTTTTAAAGTTTCTGTTCACGTGCGCGATATTGTTCAGCAAAAACACGGCAACCAACTTCAATTGATAACGACCTACCCTCTCCTGCCGATGGTACCCAACAGCATACGTGTCACGAGCCAGCCCGAAGTCAGCAATCTTGGCGGTTCCCTTCCCACAGATCAGGATGTTTCTGGCGGCGATGTCTCGGTGAACCAGCTGTTTGTGCATAAGTAGAAATGATCAAGTCATGTCAGTGTATAGCTTCATCAGGTTTGTCAGTCATAAGTGATTTCATTTCAGACGCTGTTTCCTTTACTATTTTTATGGGCGGCTATACTGGACCGAAAGGTATGGCGTCATCATAAAATCGAATCAAACTTTATTGCACAATGTATGGTAAGTTCTTCAAAGATCCGAATCAGTTAGCAATAAGCACCGTGGTGTTCAGTTGCAGTTGTTCACAAAGGTGCTGAAGATAAGTTAGACCCAAGAACAAACTCAGACCACGAAAAAGAATGATTCGGATACGCACTCCAGCCTTCCCATTAGGCAATTGCCCTCACATAATCCTCGGCGTGTTACGTTACGATTAAAGTTGTATACTTGTAAGGGATAATTTGAAGTACGAAAGTAGTCCCTCTCAATGATAAGAAGATACTAATTTTACTCGCGATGCTATGCTTATAAGCTATACTCGTGTACGGATCGGGTGAATATGTTTCTTGAAAGTTTTTGTTACTTTGTAACTGAGTGCTCCCCTTGTGGACTGTTTCAGCGTCAAAATGTGAGATGATTGCAAAAGTTTAAGTATATTGCGTGAAAGTATATTACATTTAGACATTTGGTTCACACACACACACACACATATGTATATATATATATATATATATATATATATAT